GGACACCATGTATGTAATAAGACTGTCTTCGAGGATAAAGAGAAGTCTGAATAGCATCCAGCTGCAAAGGCAGCGAGAATACATTAATGGTAAAATTAATTAGCATCCTCCGAGACAGTGCGATGTTAGTCCAGGGTGAGTTTTTATGGCTCTTAGAGGTTTGGAGGCCTCTAAAGAGCCTGGTGATTATGGAATAAGTAGATTATACAGCTCATCCGCACACTCATCACTGTGTGTGAAATTTCTGAGTGGGGGAAATTCATACAATCAAAAATGGAAAATCATCTTCTCGTTAATTGTTTCCAAACAGCCGTGCAGTTCACTAGTAAGTCATCTCAACAATCCTGATGAATATGTAATTATACAAGTGAGCATTGCAGTGTAAGTAGAACCCAATCGTCATATTCTTACTTAGGAAAACTAAATATTGCATATTTATCTTAAGTGTTGTTTTTCAAGTTGCACTTATGCATTATGTATATACAGTAAACACTACTGAATACGATTAACACTACACACAGCCATCAGTTCATTAATCCGTATTCTTGCTTGTTTGTACTTGTAGGGGTTGTACATAATATGATATTTCCCTCTCTGTGGTGGCAGGCTCCGTCATAGAGACTCACTTCCACTGTGGCTGTTCGGAACAACTACAAACAGTTTTGTTGTCCGACAGGCAACACTTCTTTTATTTCATTAATTCGAGTCAAGACAATACTGCATAAACAGCCTGACCTCATCCATGTCAGGTGATGTGACGTAGGACTTCCATCCAGGAGAATGTGTAACAAAAGTAAACTTATATAGTTATTTTAAGTTACATAAGTTATGTGACTTGTATCATCACTTACATCAACTGATTTTATGAAACATTGCATTGCCCAAAATGAACAAGGTGATCATTTACTGATGTTTTAATCTGGACAAATACAGTGTCTGTAGACTCACTGACGAAACATGGACGCAGCATCAGTGATGTCACCGATGCTCAATGATCTGTTAAACCTGGGCCGTGGCGTTCACTGCCAGCTTGGAACCCACTGCAGATTAAATGTTGATAATTCTGACAACTGGACAGTAAGATGACCTTTACAGAAATGATAAACGGTACTCCAGTGATTTTCTCTTTTATAAAGTTGAGAGACAAGAAAGATAAAATCAAATAGAACAGCCGAGGTTGCGATATCCAGACTTTCGGTCTTGAAATACATGGGTGTACTCATAATAGGGGCTCAAAGTCAAACACTGATGACATAATCAGGATTCTTTTCTGTGATTTAATGAATTTCTTCCAAATTAACTGCTTTTTCAGGCAGTGGTAGTCCATGTGATGAGTAAACTGGCCCCTTGTGTATAAAATCGGTGCACTGCACCTTCAAACTAAATTGTAGATAAAAAGAATATTTTGAAAAGTGAGCCGGACATGTACTCAGTGGTCTGTGGCTGACTGTTGACCGTCTCAGGGTAGTGGTTGCTTCCAAGTTTCAAAATAAACCTCCTTTCAAAATAAGAAGCATTCCTTGTGTAGAATCATTGGAGGTCCTTGAGGTTTGAGTAGTGGGCTCATAAGTGGTTGGAAAAAAGGGAGCAAGCTCTCTCTTCTCTCCGCCTCTGCAATCAAGCTGCCTCTGGGCAAGACACTTAACTGTCAGTGGCCCTGGTGGCCAGCAGTGATAGCCTATGGTTGAACTGGGCAGCTGTATAAACATGTGTAACATCGAGTGTGAAGACTGTTGATTGTTGGAAAAAGAACACAAAACCCCAATCAGTCTTTAAAAAACATAATTGTGTAATTGATATGAAGCACCCCCACTTGACTCAAGCATTCCCCTAACTGAATCAAGGAGAAAAGTTTGACTCCACCGTAGCAGGGCTGATTGAAAGCTGCGCTATTGCAAACACATCTGGACAGGTGTGTCTCAGGAGTCAACACACATACGGAGATTTGCACATTTTCGATTTGGCTCGGCAGCTGTTCCGCTCCACTCTAGCTCCCTGCATGCCATCGCCTTATTACGCTCTTATTAATGTAATATCATTAAATGTCCCCCTGAACATCTGAGTGCAGCAATTTATACACACCTCGTAACATTCATTCCTTTTGGCAGGCAGATAGCGGCCGAGTCCGGGGAGATCTACTGTGGAGTCACGAGGGTTGAACTGATTATTTGTTGGGATGTGGTGGAGTGAGGGTGAATTGGAGGAGGTGGTTGGGGGCGGGGGGATTGGAGCATTGAATCATTTGGCGTATTTATTATCCATCCTCTAGCTTTGGCTCAATCCTGCATCTCCTACATCAGGTAGAATAATGGCCTCCATAACCTTGGACGTTGGTGGCCTCAGAACTCTGTCCTCCTGCCCCCCCCCCTCGCTATCTTTTCATTACAGATCTGGAGAAAAAAGGCACAGATCAGATAGCAAACGGAAAGCACACTCCCACATGCTTTAAAGCAGTATTTCTCTCCACATCAGGGCTACAAGAGGAAGCATCCTGAATTGATTGGGAGATAATGAAGGAGGGCAGGGAGAGAGGGATCGATGCAGCAGGACCATGTTGACAGAAACAGACAACAAAGGGCTGGGTGCGCCACTTATACACAAGGCCAGGTTAGATACAAAATCTATCACGATCTGGACTGTATTCATATTTTACGTTTAAACTAATACCTATTGATCATTGATTGCTTCTGATGAACATTTCCTAATGTGGTGAATCTCTTCAAATTTGAGCATTTTGGTACCACAAAACTGCCCCAAAAATCTCTCTAACTGGGATAATGTGTTTACTGTACATCATGTGGAACACTAAACCTCTCCAATGAAAAACAGAGCAATGAAGGTTTTTAAGGAGATTAAGCCCTTGCGGGATGCTAAAGAGGCTTTTTTGCAGGTTTACGGGCTCCTTGTTATTTGAAATAAAACTAATATTCTTGTTAGCAATATTGCAGAAATAAAGTCAGAACCTGCGCATGCAAAAGATAATAAAATAACCCTGACAAGACGTCAGAAGTTGCACTATTACATTTTTATAGCTGGTAATAGTTGTGGTGTTTGGCTGGTGCGCCTCCTTTCCAACCATAAAAGCACACAGTCATTTTTGGAATCCTCTTTAAAGTGAAGAGAGGGCGCTATTTATACCTGCATGCACAAAAGAATGAGGACGGTTGAACAGAGTATATGGACTCACAAACACTATACTCACATTTGATTAGTTGAACGGGACAATCATGGGCAATCTGCTGCCCGCTATAATAAGATTTTGAACTTCCCTGCAGGGATTTGCTCCCATTCAATCACAAGAGCATTAGTGACATTGGATGATAAAGGCCTCAGTATGCTTATAATGAAGTGTCTGAACCCCTCTTTCCAACAGGGGCATCAGAGGAGGCCATCCATCAAATTTTTGAAAGACATTCTGACCATCATTCCCACTTAATGCAGTGATTCTTGCAGGTGTGCAGAGTTGTGAAATTCTGGAGCTTCTACTGCCATCACTTTTTGCGGGTTATTATAGTTTTATAGTTTTATTGTGTTTTTAATGTTTGTTTACAGTTTAGTTTTTATTAGTTTCAGTGTTCATACTTTTTTTTTATAATTTGGGGGTATCTAGTAAGAAAGCCATATAGTTTCAGTTAGTTTTCATTTTATTTCTAAAGGTAAGTTTTTATTTTTAATTGCAGTCAACTAAAATGTTTTTTCACATTCAGTGTTAATTTTTAGTTTGATTTTAGTCAACTTACAAAAATTGGTGGGTGCAACCCCATAAATCAAGACAGACTGTGTGGATGAGTGTAATGTTACTCCATTTGCATGAATCGTTGCACCTCAACCCTGTTTACACCCCTATGTGTGTGTGTTTGGAAACGGTATAAGCATGATTGCCTTTAGATGTGTAATCTGAGTTATAGTCACTTTAGGTGTTTGGCAGTGGATCAGTTTTAAATATTGTAAGGAAGGAGCAGCCACAGAGGGCTGCAGATTACAGGCTGCACACCTCCAACCCCTTAAAGTAAAGTAACAGCTATTTACTGTGCTCTGCTTTTTTGTTGAAAACTACTCACACTATGCACAGCATAAAATGTGGCCTAAAATTCAGGTTATTGGATTTTAGTTTTTGTTTTTAGACAGCCTACCTTGATAAAATCACATTGCAGCTGCCCATGGCATGATAGAAGGCGGCCAATAGTGACGGATTAAAACAGCATGAAATTTGTTTGGTTTCAAAGTTAAACAGGACTGACATCTTAAAGATCATTAATTAAAAGACTGAATCAGTCAGTGTTCTAGTTCATCCCAAAGGTTTTAGATGGGATTGAGGACAGGGCTCTGGGCAGGCCAATATCATATTGAAACAGGCGAGGATATTCTGCACACTGTTGCCTAAAAGATGTCACGTCAGGTATAGCTGCTGTTCCACTGTGTCTGTAACTGTTTTTTAAAGTGACTATTTCAGCCATTGACCTTGCTGAAAAACTGAATATGGGGTTAACTACCCATATTCTACACAGTTTGTTACTTTGTTTCATTGACATGAGGTGTGTTCTCCCTTCGCCCAGACCTTTGATAGCCACCTGAACCAGTCGTAGGGTCCTGGCTAACTTTTCCTGCAGAGAGAAAAACATTATAGATTGCATCCGTAATGTTAGGCATGTACCCTCATCAGCACAGTAGAGGAGGTTCCTCTCCTCCACAGTCCCCTGAAGACCCGCTGATGTGATTTGAAAGACTATGACAGGTCACGGCAACCCTGATGGAGCTTCCCCTGCACCCGGCTGATAAGCTTCGGCTGTATCATGCAAACAATGGAAAGAAAGCCAGACTGTAACACTGCATCTGTTTCAGCAGGAGACAGTCCCACGGCATTCATTTAGAGGCTCCGTCAAGCAAACACTACCCTGATATCTGCTCGTAATCTAAAAGCAACGTGTTCTCGGTGATGCCGGTGTTATTGAGCATGCCTCTGAGGAGGAATATTGACATATCAACACATTTAATATGGAACAGTACAAAACAGGTACAGGTACAATAAGTCAGATCCTCATATAGTGAAGCATTTTCCAAAAGTGAACTTTCCAGACACATTTATTGGGCTGATAACATTACTCAAACACAGTGTATGACCATTGTAAACAATAAAACAGAAAAAAAGGCATCAGCTCCGCCTGAGAGCTGCTCCAGACTTCAAAGTGCGCCAAGCTTTTTAAAATTTTCAACTGTTTCTTTTTTTTTTTTTTAATCCTCTTAATATATCTTTTGAATGTTAAATTCATTACTTTTCTTTACATATTCATTTTTCTGCAGTATTGATAATTATAATATGTACAAACGAGGCCAAGACACTGGTTGCTCTGAGGCTCTAAGAAAGCCTCTAAATATTTGTCTCCCATGACATGACTAGTTTTGGAAAATGACAAGGTAAGGCTGTGCTCCCTCTCAGTTGGTTTTTGCTGTTCGCATGCCTTGTTGGTGACTGTGATGAAACGTTGGTGTGAGAGTTTGAAGACCACTTCGTCTTGACCAGTAGGATGGGGGCAGTGACTTAGTCCTTGGATTTCCCCACTGATAGCAACAATTTTTATGTACAAAGGCTTTAAAGTCCCAACGTTGTCCTATTGGTTGGGAGGCTATCAAATAAATGCTTCCACGCTTTATTATTTTTTTTAGTTTGTTTCAAAGTGTCTTTTTTTGGTTTTTCTCCCAAAAAAGTATCAAAATGTCCGTATAGATATAGTTGTACAGTAGGGGAAAGGGCTTGTTAGCATGTGTTAGATCGAAGGTTCAAACTGTTCTCGATGTATGAAAAGAATCTCTTTGCCCGCAATGCAGAGTTCCGTTAATTCGTATAATGTCCGGTGTTGTTTTGTCTTTATACAATGCCATGATATAAACCTTAGATGAGATGCAGCCTTAAGCCCAGGTTTCAAATCTCTCCCTCCTCCTGCCCCCTCCTGCCTCGTCCCGCTCTCCATCTCTGACACTCATCTCCATGCTCATCCAAGGGAGGCTACTTTAGCAACCACTCGTTCACTGGAAGAGAGGAGAAGGACAGGAATGAGAATACTGATTTATATATGCGGCACTCTCCACAGTTCAACTATTCACTGGCATCATCCACACCCCCCCCCCCAACNNTTCCCTGGCATCATCCACCCCCCCCCCCCAACCCATATTTCATCTTTAGTGATAAAATACAATTTAAACGGTATAGCACTCGTGTGAATGGGTGAATTGGTGCCATTATGTTTTGAGTGGCAGCCTTGGCAGAAAATTGTACCCAAAACGAGCAGGTGCAAAGAACTCGAGTAAACATTGTAATTAGATTTTTTTTTTAATGTGTCTTTGCTGTTATGAGTAGAAATTTATTGGAGTGTCTTAGAGACACACGGCACGATTAGCTCACAAACATTCCTGACTTCCCAATCAGTTACCTCGATTATCAGCTCTCTGGGGAGGGGAGGAATGTGTCTCCCACTCTAAAGGTTGACCTTACACAAATCACCAAGGAGACGTATTTTCCCTTTTAATCAGACCCCCCCCAACCCCCTCTTCATCTTGAAGGTCTTTAAATCTCTGAACAATTAAATAAGCAGGTCTGCCTTCCTGTGTGTTTGCTCTCCGAGGGTCCCTGGCGGGTGCGTTTGTTTGGCAATCAGTAGGCTCTGAGGTGGGCGGGGAGGGTTGAAATCCACCCACAACTGCTGCGCAGAATAAGAATTTCATCTTTTAAAGGGGAGGGGGTCGAACAGAGCATAACAGAGAAGAAATGAGAGAGAGGCGCAGACAGAGAGACAATCACGGTGTGTGTCGGCCACAGTACAGTAAATCCTGAGTAAAACAATATAACAACAAAAAATTCAACATTCTGTGCAGCAGTTGCCCCGATATATTGGCTGAAACAGAGGAGAGATGGCAGACTGCAGCAACACTTCCCAGGTTGCAGTGATCTGTGACAAACATGTTTTCAGCATCCCAACCGCCAGATCTGTCAGTCAGGGCCAAACAGGTGTTCTCACTGTCCAGCCATCTGACTTTCTACTGCCTGTTTTCTCTTCTCTTTAGCACATCAATCTGCACTCTACATTTTATCGACCATCAGTCCCAGCTCAGCACTCAAATTTGTTATTAAGTTTATTAATTATAATGGTGAGCATAGATCAAGCAATAATCCCCTGGAATGTATGTGGATGTCGTATCTAAAACAAATTTTACTTCAGGGGCATTCAGGAGCCCTGGAGCTGAGGTTGGTGAGTAATAATTTATCACGCTTACTGACCAATAATTATATCTTGTCAGTTGCTTGTCAGAAGTTTGCAGGATGTAAACAGTGCTGAATGCAAAAGGATATTAGCTTCAGGGACCCGTACAGCTTTGAGTTTAGAAAGTGAACACTGCTAAAGAGAATTGAGGTCAGACCTTCGTCTGCAGTGCATTTTGAAGTTTTTGTCTGGTTTATTACAACTTGGGTGCTATTAGTAATGATAATGTCTAAGATCTGGATACAGCACTAAAGAAGTCTGATGGTGTACAGTAAGAAACACAAGCTGAATGGTTTTAAACAAACCTCCGGGCTGGTCATACAGAGCCTGACGAAAGGCATTAAAATGTTATTAGGAGAGTCAAAAATCTAAATCAATAATATGTAATAATATGAAGTACAGTATATGGATAATCACCATTATGTGTACAGGCTGTTCTTATGAAAGATAGAGGTAGCCAGGTAGCTAGCTGCAAAGGTTGGTGCTCATTGCTTTCAGCTACTACTGTTTTCAGCTAGGTAGCTTCTCTTTTACCTTTTCAATTGTTTGCAAGCGAAATGAAAAGTATAAAGCTTTATTATTTTTTTTATTAAGCTCTAACATGCATTAGATTCAAGATATAATTTGTCTATGAAATATAAATGAAAAAAAGAAATGAAAAGGGGGAGGGAGAGATAACATGGCAGCATTTATTTAAAAATAATTAAGTAATCGTTCCTACCTCGGTACTGCAGCTTCTGAGCCCTGTTGTTGGGGCAGTCTTTGCCCTGCATGCTGAAGTTGATATTGGTGCGGATGCAGCGGTTATTGAGCGGCTGGACCGGGCGAACATTGTCACTCATGCTCAGGAAGATCTGAGACGGCTGGTTCTGGCTCAGCAGCCGCAAGGAGTGCATCTTAGATAAAGAAAGAGACGGAGAGAAAGAGAGAGAAAAGAAGCCATTGAGGAAAAGTCGGCCAAAGCATCATGGAAATGTGAGCCAGGCATTTTAATCAATTTTTCAGGCAGGATTGTATGGAGGATTAACCAAAGGAAGAGCTGAGAAAGTTTTGGAGTAAAAAAACCTTGGTGCTGGGCTGACAGGTTTCATGGCCAGAACAATAGAGAGAAAATCCTTGGCTGAGACAGACAATTCCCAGTGCATTTTTGGAGTTGTGTTTCAGGCGTGGTTTGGCGACTGAGGCTCACCTGCATGCGTGTGAGGTACACAGGCTTGTTCATCAGGATCCATGTGGCTGTCTCAAAGCATGGAGGGATGGTCATCGATCCATCATATGTGATAAAACTACTGGTCTCTGGGTATATCTCCTCTATGTTCAGGCCGGTCAGTAGATACGCATCGTCTGTAGAAAGAAAAGCAGACAACAAAAAAAGTTTCATCAAAGGACACTGTACTGCCAGTTCACATTCTACGGAAACAATTTTCAGTATATTCACAACAATTAAAGCCAATTAGAGAAAAGGTCCGTTTTTTTTTTTGTTCCCTTTCTGTAATCATCAACTAAAATCAGCTCCAGATTCACGTAACTCCATTTTTCAGCAAATTACAACATGTGTTAGTGAGTCCACTGAAAGTTGGTATAACTATACACCACTCTATAAGGGGCTCTACTTTTTATACTTTGGGTGCATTTTACTGATGATGGTGGGTGAAAGTAGTTGAATTGCAAACCTGCAATAACTGATCTTTTTGGGCGGTTAAGTTAATATGGGGAACACGTAAGCAAACATCCAGCAGTTATCCAGCAACATTATCATTCATTTGGTGTTCTGGCCAACTGGTGAATTTAAACCAGTGTGTAGGATTTAGTGACATCTAGCAGTGAATTTGCAGATTGCAACAAACTGAACACTGCTCACATATATATTGACTGACCTGGGAATGAGAATGGGCTGAAAAGTGTGTAGGAGAAACTAGGGTGGTCCCTATCTACAGCCAGTGTTTGCTTTTTCTTTTCTTAGCTACTGTAGAAACATGGTTGTTCAACATGGTGGACTCCACGGAAGACGGCGTGTGTAGATAAAAATGGCTCATTCTAATGTAATGAAAACCTAACAATGCCTTTATTCAGATGATTCACTAATCAAAACATACTTATGAATATTATATTCCACTTCTGACAATAGAGCCTACTACATGTTACACACTGGACCTTTATATCCAATATTCATTCTGTTTTAGTTCTGTCTTTGGTCTCTACCAACTCCTGAAGGAAATACCTGGCTCTTTAGCTGCCAAATGTAAGCTTTCACACTGTCACACTTTCATTTGATACATTGTTATATAAAATAACAGTTCAGTCAGCCAACTCGCGTTTGAAATCTTTATTAAAGCAGTATAACATATTAGATTTTGGCGTCTAGGCCTCGACCTCATCACTCCCTGCAGATATGTTTACATAGAGATATTGGGGAGTGATGCACAGATATCTTAACCCCCCCATCGGAGCCTACAGGTGGATGCTGGGGTGGTGGTGGGGCTTACAGCGCAGAAAGGCAGCAATAGTTTGGAGTAGCAGCGATGTGATCTGAGGCAACAGTGGCATTGACAGAGCAGAGGGAGAGCTGGGAGATTTTGCAGCTTAAATAGACAGTCAGATTGAAAGGGTGTGCATGGTTAGTGATTATGGAATAAGGCATGTCGTGTGTGTATAGCAGCGCCGCTCGAGTTGACCTGCCTGAATTAGTTTGCAGGCTTCGCTCCATTTATAGCTGTTTTGAGAGGACTTTGAGTTTAGATGATTTTTCTTGTGAAAAAAGTATTGTTGCAACAATGAGTCCAGAATTAACAACCGCCAAGTAGCAAATATGGCCAAAGTTTAGCGGAAAAGTAACTTTGGGTCACTGGCAAGGTGGCTATTAAATCATTTTGGAGTCACAGCGTAGGGCTAGGTGGACATCGCTGTGTTTTTTATGTGAGACTGAGACTAATGTGACCCTCACTGTCAACTGTATGTGACATTAGCAAATCTAATCAAAGCAGCTTACTATTACCTGGCGTTTCCTACACAATGTCTATTTTTGCGACACATTCCTGGTGTTAAGCAACCAAAAAGAAAGCATGAAGCCCAAGAGAAAGGTCTGTGTTTTTGTGAGAAGCACTGTCTGAATGATGCAGGAGCCCTGAGATCCTGGTTCAAATAAGAAAGATTCAAAAGGTTCAGCAAAGCTCAAAACTTGATGCAATTATTTTCAGTCAAATAATACGTGATGCAGTTTTATGGCTGCTAAAAATACTTTTGGGGCGTAAATTTATCTTCGATTGAACCAAAATGTTCATAATTTGCAACATCGCTGAAAGGCGTATTTACACATTCATATTTAGAAAATAGTAGTTTACATACCATCAAATTTTGTGAGGGCAATACATGAAGAATTTCTCACTAATGTGTACACTTTACACACTCATACTGCTACCATACATACTGTGTAGCAAATAGGGACTGATTACACACACACACACACACGATTTTGTTGCCAACTCCCTCATCACACACTGGGTCTGGTCACCAAAAACAGGCTGCCCCCCCCCACTGCTCATCAAGCACTGCGCTCATCTGTCATAACAAATATTTCTCACTTCTTATTTCGCATATCATTTACTGTTCTGTGAATGACAGGATGTTGGTGTTGCAGCACAAAACCTCTTTTATCCAAACTGTCTACACTGTCAGGATGTTAATTAGACAGACTGCAACTCTCTTCCTCCTTCCTCTTCACACTCCAGTAGCGCAATCTCAATAACTTGTCATCTGTTGGGACTGCATTGACAAATGGACTGCATATTGTGATAAGGTCACTGTGGTGGACCACCAGCTTTAAAGGACAATTCCGGC